CTGGAAAGGATTGCCCAGGACAAAGTTGGATGGAGAGTGGTGAACGGCCGATGCTCCTTCATGAGGGGTTACAGGCGTAAGGAAGTGAACTGAACCTCCTTGTACTAATGTTTATGTGTGTAAAGAAAAAAATAGCTACTTTCTAAATACGGAAATTGTACAGATGACAACAGTGAGTAAAATATACATGATAAATAGCCTGTTTTATAATTGTAGAATTTCCAGAAATACAGAATATATCTCTTAGTTCTGAAAAGTCTAGACCCCAGAACAAGCTAAATAAATATTTTCATTACAGAAAACTGAAACAGTAGCAACTGGAAAGGATTGCCCAGGACAAAGTTGGATGGAGAGTGATGAACGGTCGATGATCCTATATGAGAGGTTACAGGTTTAAGCATGTTAGTGTCGTACTGGCAAGCTTAAGAATAGTGTTTGTCATTCTCAGTTGCATTTTAAATCATCTCATTCTATTATTATTAAATATAATAATAAATAGTCTTAGTAACCTCGTAATACCCATTTGAGTGAAATTTTAATTCACAGTTAGATAACGTGAAACACAAGAAAGCGATTGTGTCATAACATAATATTTCGAAGTTCTCCTTCAACAGTTCTACCTTCGAAATGATCAAAGTCTATTCGGGATTCCATGAACGAGGTCTTACTGACGACTTCAAAATTAAAAATCTAAATACTTCTAAATCGAAACAAGTTTGTAATCGTGTTTCAAATGTCACGACAGCCTTACAGTTGTTCTATGCACAAACTGCACAGTATGTACCTTTGAAAAGAAACTGATAAGTTAAGCATATATATATATATAGTTTTATACGATACATTTGGTCCGTTGCGGAGAACCGATGACTCATTATTTTAACTAGTCATAATTAAAAGAAATTGTAGTGGCAAATATCCAGAATAAAGAGGTCTTCGGCATTGAATACTGACCACATTAGTTTTAACGGACTCACCCATCTGAAGGCGATCCGTCATGTATGCACACTAGATCACGAGTGGGAACGCCATGCTCAACATCTCCTGCAGTTGCTAACCAGTTTAGATCAGTCGCTTCTCGATATATTGACAGCCTATCAAATATATCTACGAACGTCTTTGCTTCTGCTTACTGATTTTAATAGATGGGTAACATTCAGAATAGGAGGTATTGGTGGTTAAAGCATTTTCAGACTCCAAATACCTGTGGAATACTCAAAATCGTCTTCCAACTCGTCGTCTGACAAGTGATTTCGATGAAAGTTTCGAAATTTGAACCACGAATCTCAATTTACCTCATATATGTGACACATTATTGCTGCAAAGCAGAGGCCACAGAAATGCCAGTTCCTGGGAACTCGACTTGTGAGACATTTTGACTTCAGAGGTGAGACTAAACCGCCAACGCGACTTTTTTTAAGACGCTGAAATAACAATTTATACGGACTCAATGCATCATATTAATGGAAAACTATTGACAACATAAAATACCTCATAGCATCTTAAATATGCTGCCGAAAAGTATGGAAAAAATAAACAGTACGCAGAGGTTCTTAATTCAGTACCCGAAGGCAAGCGATTGTCAGAAAAAATCGTAGCAAGACCAGAATTAAAAATGTTATCAACTACAACGAATAATATAAAATTAAAAATCACCACAAATTATGGTACAAGTACTTCAATATAGTGTGTTAATCAAAATTTGCAACGGGTCGTCCGAGCCTTTATTAAGAGGAAGTTTTGAAAAAAGAGGAAGATTAATGTAGACAAATGACAAAAATCGATAGTAGAAGGCATCACAAGCAAAATATCTTCTGAGACAATATTAAACTCACTTATCCAAGTATGTTCGAGAACAAAACCCAGAAAAATGACATAAATGAGTTAAGAAGAACACGAAATATATCATCGCTATTTCGAGATAACTGTAACATTGATATGTCTTCACTCATTTAATATCAGTCACCTCCAATGGGATGTAGTTTTTTTGCATAACTAAAGTTGGTACCTGCGAGCTGCAGCTGAATACCAAGTAATTGGGAATGGGCAATTACTGTTGTTAGTTTTTATGATTGTTAGAATTATAAACTACTTTCTTGCTTATCTTCCTTACGTAAAATCTAATGTACGTGTATTCTATTACTTGGTTGCTTAGCTTGCCAAGTCTCTTCAAATATCCAGAATGATTATTCGCAAATGTTTTGGTTAGAAAAACAAAAACAATCGATGCTGATATATTTCAGCTGCGAAGTGATTTAAAAGATTCCAAAGCTGGGTTTTATGGATTCATCACAGAGAATGTTTTCAAATGAAAAGAACTAACAGTACTAGTCACTGGTCTGTTGTCAATTATATAAGTTGTCCACAAAGTTAAAAACAAAACACTTGAGGACAATGATAAGTTCTAACCTTAAAAGTCACAGAAGTTAAAATATGGCAACTGCTAAAAGGTTTTACTGATTTATTATACTGTATTTTAATTTCACCAACGTGAGACCTCAAATCGAGTATTCGATCGTAGTAACTAGTCCGTATCTTAATAAACGGCTTAAAGCTTTAAACCATGTTCAACGAGTAGTATGACTCAATGGTCGTCCCATTCTATCTTTCAAAGAGTGATTGCAGCTCTTGTGCCTTCACTCTCTAAGACAAGATGTAGATAACCAACATAGATGATCTATGTCGAATGATCGGAGGAATCGATGACCTGTTCGATATTCAGTGACACAAATGCCGGATGATTTTGCTAGGGCTCAGGGACGATTCACTGACCCTACAATACACTCCCACCAGACTCAATGGCCTTTTATATCGGTACCAAACATTCTGGGAGTAGTTGCGCACCCGAGATTGCCAAACGATCAATGATAATGATGATAAACGGTGATTATTGCACGTTTGTTCAACAAGCGAGCTGAAGAATATCGGAACGAACATAGGAAAACACGAGTATCACTTTGCACTCATGTCAATCATACTCGTGAAAAGCGTTGTCAGTGTTGGGATTGGGGCCACAATTTCGTTTTCATTTCACAGGCGATCCACTCGACTGCATGAACTGATGATTCATTTGATTGATAAAGTCGTCAGACCACAAATGGAATTGGATAGGTTTTAAATTGTCGAGTAGTTGAACATCCGATTGATGTACCGAAATCCTCTGTTAGATAACAGCCAAAAGAAAACAATACTTCATAAAATGAAGTAAAACACTGAAGTTGAATAATTACAATAGTTACGGTGTGTTATAACGTCACGTCGGAATAACATCGTTCTTACGCATATTGACAGTCGCATTGAACTTTCTTTTAGGTATTATTAGTATAATATTTGGATGTGTGAATATAAACAAGTACGAAGACTATGAAGGGGTTCACGGAGAAATTCAGAGGTCTTTTAAACATTTTCCAAACTTGTATTGCATGTAAATAAACCAAAAACGGAATTACAATGACTTTGGCGTAATAATTAAATCAAGTTTTGATTGACAGTGTGATACAACAGCAAACACAAAGCATATAAAAACGTTATTAAAAATGGTAACCACCAATGCAAGTCAAGTTTAAAGGGCTTAGATAACGTGACTACTTAGTAAACAACCGATGTAGAAAAATTATTACGAAGCGTTAAGTAAAGTTAAGTAAAATTTAAAGTAGACAGTTGTTCAAATCCTAATTATATACGAGGTACTGTTGATTAAATTTTTGGATTAACACAGTTTTAGACTGAATTTGAATAAGTCTAAGATTAATTTAGGTCAATTATGTAGCATTGCCAGATGAACACTCTAAACGAGATCTAAAATTGCAGAAAATTTGTATTTCAGACTCCCTGTAAATTTCTGGCATTCATATCCTCTGTTTGACCGTGGAACTGAAAAATTGGAAATTAGGCAAGCGGTGATCAGTTAAGTAAAACATTGCAGTGGGTAGTTTCTGACGGAAGATTGTTGGTAGTGACCAAGCAAAAAGATGAATTTATAATTGACAGTTAGTCTTGTTTCCCCTCATACAAGGGGTTAAGTTACAAACAGATGTGCGTTCTTGCTGCTTGACGTCTGTACTTATGAATGGTTGAAATTTTGGGACATAACTCAGAAGCACTTAAATTCTAATAATGCTTGTTAAGGAACCACGATAGCCGATTATAAGCGTGGCAGTTTGGTAAGTTCTGTCGATTGAACTAGGTTTAAATACTAATCAACACTGATATGAAGGAACGAATGTCCACAGCAGTAGGTCAACATAGGCGATGATAAAAATGATAGGTTGCGTTATTCAAAGTACTGCTCATCAGTGTAGATCATCAACGTTGACGATCTCTGTCGAGTGGTTGGGGGCCGCCACGAGTTAGACGGGAATGGTGTGACCAGCGGCTAATTTCTAACTCACACATTCCGGTCAGCACCTAACTTGGATTACCTATTCAACTTTTCAAGGTACTGTGGCTGCTTTGAAGGCAGTATAACCCAAATTAAACTATGACAGAAATATGTTAGTTTGAGAAAGTACAAGCGAAAGTGTGACCACCACTGGATACACCAGTTCATGGTGTATGACTAACTGATGTGAATTGTCCGCGCTTGACTTTGACGGAAATCGATGATCTGTTCGATATTCAGTGACACAACTGCTAAATGATTTTGCTAGGGCTCAGTGACATTTCACTAACCCTACAAGGACAGTGAGTGATCTTATATCAGGATTGTGAATTGCAAACTGAGTAGGTGCTGTAACATCTCTTTTTTCCTCTTGTTAAGATAATTTATGCCTGAGCCCGTTAAAAACGGTTCGCAAATCTTGGATGGTAAAACTAAAGACAGGAATCCGTCTTTCGCATCCATTGTACAATACTTGGAAATTTATTCGAGTAAGAGGGAACACTTTCATTTCTAATCAATTATAAAAACATACTAGAACCTAAAGAAAAAATTTCACTATAAAAAATAATACAGGTCAATCATCTCATGATCTTGCTTAGTAAGGGTTAGCAATTGTTTATTCGTATCACTGAGAGCCCCGTGTCGGATGTAAATAGAAATTATGTCGGTACTCTATCTACGACGACACTTCATATATTTAGTATAAATCATGAGTTTTATTTGGGATTGGTTGTCTGGTTCTGTGTCAAAGGTTTTGAGTTATCTCGGCTTATGGCAAAAAAACGGAAAGCTGGTATTTTTAGGGCTAGACAACGCTGGGAAAACAACATTACTGCATCGTCTGAAAGATGATCGCATGGCTCAACATGTTCCAACACTTCATCCAACTTCTGAAGAATTGTCGATCGGTGGTATGAGATTTACGACTTTTGATCTTGGTGGGCATGAACAAGCAAGGCGCGTTTGGAAAAATTACATCCCAGCTGTTGATGGCCTTGTCTTTATGGTAGATGCATACGATCGTAACAGGTTAGTTACTGGGATTATTTCCATGTACATACTAAAGATTCTTGGAGTCAAAGAAGGAGTTGGACAATCTCCTGCAGGATGAGCAGATTGCTCACGCTCCTATTTTAATACTCGGAAACAAAATAGATAAACCCGGTGCAGCTAGTGAGGAAGAATTGCGGTACTTCTTGGGGTTACAGGGAATCACAACAGGAAAGGGTACCATTAATAAAAGTCAAATACCTACTGGGAGACCTATTGAACTGTTCATGTGCAGTATATTAAAACGGCAAGGTTATGGTGAAGCGTTTAATTGGCTTGCTCAATATCTTGATTAAATACTTATTATTCATGTAATTTATTTTATATTAATAAAGAATGCAACTCATTTAATAATCTTAAGACTAGATAAACTGTGATTACAGACTGATGAGATGTACTTTTGTCAAACGAAAATATGCTCTTTCAGCATCCACTTAATCCATTTTTCAAGTCAATATCCGGTTTTGACTAACAGTTGTGTCTAGATAGTGTGATGAATATCACCACAGTGATGTGCTGTCGCTAATTAGTGATAACTGTAACATTGATATGTCTTCACTCATTTAATATCAGTCACCTCCAATGGGATGTAGTTTTTTTGCATAACTAAAGTTGGTACCTGCGAGCTGCAGCTGAATACCAAGTAATTGGGAATGGGCAATTACTGTTGTTAGTTTTTATGATTGTTAGAATTATAAACTACTTTCTTGCTTATCTTCCTTACGTAAAATCTAATGTACGTGTATACTATTGCATAGCTGTTTAGATTGCCTTTAATTTTTAAACGAAATCCAGGTAATGGGTGAGTAAGAAGCAACGAGGTGTACAGCGTTTCTTTTGCCTTTTGAGTGATTCCTTCAGGACAGTACGTTGAATTAAATTAAGTAGGATCTGGAAGTATGATCTATTTTGACTAAATTTACGTGACATGTGAAGATAACTGATTGAAGTTTTGTCACTATAAATACATTGACCAAAAAATATCGCGTTTGACACAGCTCAAATGTACTGTTTAAGCGTTACTTGGAGATCCAAAAAGTTAATTGTAAAATTAAACCTTTGTAGTAGTTGCAGAGACAACAGCCGTAAACTGCCTAAAACAGTATTAATAGCAAAATAGACGACTCAATTTTGTTCAGTGATTAGTAGTTGTTTCCTTGGTTACCGCTGGATTCTTACTCTAATATTAAAACCTTTCGAGTTTACTAATTCACAGTCTCATATCTAAATCATTTTTCAAGTTATTGTACTGACTGTTCTGTTGTTGAAAACGCAGATTTTTGTAGCTTGAGCTACTTAACCATCTTATTTGTAAAGTCCGAATTTATTTTAATGTTCACCGTTAGTGGCCCAAAGTACGAACAACTTCCTGTCGATTTTTTGTACTTTGGCAAGGTAATCCTACAGAAGTAGTTGTGCTTTATTCCCTCCTTTTTTGTTCTCCCGGATTCCATGTATTTACACAACGCCTTGTTATACTCTGCATAATCCATAATTTCCTCAAAATTAGAATCATGAATATAGGCAATAACGTTTTCCAAATAAGTATGACGAATTCCGATCTCCCTTGAAATGATCTAATGGCCATGCGTATACAGCAAATTCCTCACTGCCTTCTCATGGTTGGGGTGTTGTTTACAAAATGAAGTCACGGACCATACTATATTGTCTTAAACCTCACGTGCATTTCAGTTAACACTATCTTAGATCTGACCCTTTCCTTGAAAAGTCTTAGCAATTCTTGTTTGATTGTATAAATGTTTTGGTATTGTGAACAGCTCTCCGGGCTCGTAGTAACAGTTTTCTGACAATTTTCAGTGTTCTGCACTGAAGGAAACTCTTGAAATTCACGTAAAGATCCAAGACTTATTATATTGGATCTGTCTATAAATTATATTCCCTTTGGACCTTGACTAATTCAAGCCATTAGGAGAAAAGTAGATTTGAGTGAATTAGTCAGAATAGGAAATGAAGGATTTACTAGTTGTTGTGATTTTACTTTTTAAACGAACTTATCTAGATTGGCTCTGAGCTTTTAATCATTAGAGTTTGGATCGGAGTATAGCCATGGGAGTTAACGTTAGTTTATGTGTCATAATCCGAACTATAGTTCCAAATTAGTTTGAATGCTAACCTGAATACTACTCATAACTTGATTCAGCAAAGTGAAACCATTAGTGTGCGTCAAAAATGAACATGCAGACAGCAACAGGGTCACATCAAATTGTTCATCGTAGATAATCAGTTTTTACTACGCAAGCACCATTAGATACTTATGCTTAAGATTAGAATTTATGACTAGCATCTATAGTTAAAGTGCTATAGCATTGTTGTTCGGGACTAAGACGGAGATTTTATAATTTTGGCTAAAAGAAATAGTTTTTCAGACAGTTTAGTTACGGACCTAAGGTTCAAGATTAGGTTTTAAGGTTGCAGTCAGGATTAGGTTTTATGATCAATCTACCTAAATTCAAAATCCAACTGCTATCCCAACATTAATCCCAAATCCTTAGCATTACATATTCGTCCTAATCTTTAAGTCTTAGCCTATATCATTTCACTAATTATGGTTAGCAGAATTTTTCGAAACTTTATTAAGATGATCCATAGATTTATATAAACTACTTTTCATGTTTCAGCTTCAGGGCTAACAAAAATTGCGGCAAAATATCATACTACTTTGTTACTCTGTACTCTCAGTTATTACGCTCCCGCATTCATAAAAGAATGCTCTTTTCAGCAGTTTAAGGCCTTGTAAGAACTAAACGATGTCCTACCATTAGAATTAACCAATGTATAACCGATGATCAAAATGTCTGTAAGATATTTGGACCATGGTAGAACTTTTAGGATAAGTGAAGTGGTCGATACACACCTAACTTCCTCGCTATTATTTCAGGTGTTAACACAGACCAGTATCTTTCATTTGGACAGAGAAAAATGCGTTCAAAATATTTTTACGCAATGCGATCAGGAGACTGCATCTTCACTTGCGTATTCAAAGTCATGAATTAAACCCGTTGGTAGGACGTCAGCTCCTGAAAACTCTGGCAATCTTCTAGAGATACGATTCTCGCCTATGACGAAGTTAAATAAAAATGGGGAAAGCAGAAAACCGTGAAGAACATCATACTAGGTTGACGGTTTTCTGTAAGTTGTGATTCGATTAACGATGTTTTGGGATAGTTTTTACAGGTTAATATAATTCTTCGTCACATCATTCGATCGCGGATACTGTCGTTAAACCTGTCGATCTGCAGAGCTGAAAGCTGCCTTAAGATCGAGGAATACAACTACGTTTGGGACCCAGTAGTTATTTCTTGACGAGAGGCGATGATTTGACCTTACGTTCAGGTCAGAGTTCGCTCCTCACGAGCCCTAACAAAGCGTTGAAGGATTATTAAGACCACTATTCTACACATCATCAGTAGCCCCGAATCGACATGTCTTCATAAGTTCTTCACCAAGTAGCATACAGACATTTTTATCGAGCTAAAGATCCTATGAGACAACTTGACGTAGCTTGATCAGTGATTTCGGTACCCTGAGATGCTTTCTATTGGCAGTTAGGTTTATAGATTGCAATGAAGTGTCCTAAAAGTCCATTAACCAATTTTTATGACCAGGACCAAGTAATGTAATGAATTTTTTGTCGCATCGTACTTTCGATGTTTTCCTCTCCTAGATTGCATTTCTGTTTCGGCGACTTTGCAAAAAACTTGTATGTGATTATGAATTCGTCTGAATTAGATAACCTCTGAAAACTGAGATGCACTTAACAGTCGAGTTATTTTGTTTTGATATCCGAAGCGCATGACCACGATCAGCATTCATTTGAACTCAGAGCATCAATGTTTTACAGCAAGCATAATACGGAACGGCCGTCCAATGTTTCCATGTTTACAATGGTGGTCTGACATTGATCGGTTCATGATTTTAATGAAATTCAACGATCTCCACAACCCCGAACTGAAAAGCCCAATACAATCGAGCTTTTGAATCGTAAACCATTGTCCTATCACTTCGACCTTAGTTTTGATGGAATAATGCAATTTACACTAAAAATGTTTGTGGTTTACCGTCGACCTCGATTCGATCGAAATAATGATTGTGAAAACAACGGAGTCATAAGTGGGTTAGCAGTTGCATTTTAAGTATCGACGGAAGCTTAATGAAAACATCATTAGCAAATATTCAGTCGGATTTTATGCCAAAGTATTTTTAATTCGTTGTCTAGATATTTCCTAAACACTTCATACATCTAAGGACGTAGTAATTAATATAATAAATAAGTTCCAAATGATTGAAACGTGAACAATTATCAAGGACCCCTATTATTGCTTTCTATTTTCTTATTATGGCATGAAAGTATGAACTTGGTAATCCACACGCACGTAGTAGTTTTTCGGAAGTTTTATGCAAATAACATAGACGTAGACTTAACATTTAAAAATAGAATCCGTCAATGTAAAATCATCTATTATTTTCTTTTGAAATGACCATACAAATCCAGGAAATATTTTTTGTCATAAAGAAGAAAACACACAAACTGTATTTGTAAGCTTGGGAATATTACCGACCGTCGAGGCTTTGTTTGATTTTTAACTGCACTCGTGATCCGTTATCAGTTGTTCTGTCAGAGGAAAAGTTTTTTTCGTGATTTGATGTAAGCTTGGTCGGGTCAGAAATAAATGTAACAGGAGGGGCCTTATGACCGGATTTCTGCCAAGCTTTTGCATCTATTCGTTCCCTTGAATCCAACTCCGCTAACAAGCGTGAATTATCTAACGCTTTAAAAAATAAAATAAATTTTAACGAAAATTACCATGACACTAATACTGTGTATAAACAGGAAAATATTTTCAATCGACTATGAACAAGACAAAACGAGAATAGTATGCCCATATTAATAACACTCAATAATCAATAAAATGTAGCACCTAAGGAGTTTATTGACAAGAATAGTACAAAGAGTATAAATTTTATTCGCAAACAGATGAAGCAATTTATGTGTCGCAGTAGCAAAATTACTCAGAAAAAAAGTTCAAAGGAAAGTTTTATCCATCAATGTGTAAGACAAGTAATAGTAACTCATTCAAACTAAGATCTAAAACTGTGATAATCAAAAAATCGAGATGTCTCCCCTGTCAACAAGAATTTAAAAATCACATGAAAAGGGAAAACTGTAAATACATTTTTAGATCCATCCAGTTGACTTTATTTAGGTAATTCAGTATATCAAACAAAAGTTTAGAAAACATGAATAAAGCAGTAGTTGTTTCACAGAGGAAAAAAAATGCCTAAAATGGAATATAAGTGGTTATTGTTACACAATCTAGTTCTATTGATAT